CCTGTCACATTCCAACACCCATAAGAGGCCTTGTGGTATTTCTAACCACAGCCACAACACATTTCTCCACCAAAGGCAAACAAAATTGTGAATGGTCTCTCCCCTCATAACATGAAACAGCACAGTTGTATAGCAGCACACGATTTTTAAAAAAATATGCAAATGTACTGGCTGAATTGTGATCATATATCCGAGAGACGGGAAGTGGTGCGACTGCACTTCTTTTGTCATTTGTGTCAGTGACATTGTAGAGTCACACTGACTCAAGCCCATCACTCTTAACTGGATGAGCACTGAGGTCACAAAAAAAAAAAAAACTATAATGAAATTGACCTAAATTACATTATGGGACTTGCAAGTATGAGAATATGTTGCATTAACACATCTACATTGCCTTTAAAAATTCTTGTTTGACAAATTTGACAGTTTGGAAAAAATATTTTCTTTCCTGGAGAGATGGAAAAACTGATACCACTGTCATGTCTATATGGAAAAAGTGGTTAGCTTAGCATAATTACTGGAAACAGGGGAGCTAGCATGCTTCCAGAGATGTCAAAATCCACCTACCAGTACCTCTAAAACTCACAAATTTACACATCTTGTTTGTTTTATGCCACACAAAAACTAGAGCTTGTGGGTTTTTTTGCGAATGTGTGATGTTACTGGGCTGGTGTTTTTCCTCCGTTTTCAGTTTTTACAGCTAAGCTCTCCTGACTGTAGCGTCGTATTTAAAGAACAGGGAGGAGATGGTTTGTCGCTGGCTCTGGCCAAGAAATATAATCCACATAAAAAGACAATTTGTTAATTTTTTTTTTTCATTATTGCCTCTGGACAGAGCCAGACTAGTGGTTTCCCTGTTTACATGCTAAAACCATGAGGCATTAACTTAGCCATGAAGACTGATAGCAAGAAACAAGCTAATCTTTTGGCAAGTGCAGTATAACCCCCTGTAAAACCACAGACAAAATCTGGCCTGTTAGTCAGCCAAACTACCTGTTTTCAGTTTTTAATGCTAATCTGTCAGTTACTGGCTATAGCCTTAACATTTAACAAAAAGATATGAGAGTGGTATTAGTCTTATGTAAACTTCTCTAAAAGAATGCACGTGCAAATGTCAGTTTATTTTTAAGTGACTCAGCAAACAGTATTGTAACCTCTGTAAACCTCTTGCCAGAATGAAAAGCCAAATATCTGCATATTTTGGCTTATTGCTAGAGGAGCAGATATACTCTCAGCCTGGAATTAAAGCAAGTATGATGCCAAATCCGGTCCATAATTATTCACTTGACTGCTGTTTGGCTTGTGACAACAGGCTAAACACTGTCGTCCAAAATCACATGGGTTATGAGAAGAGAGAGCAAACCATAGAAAGACATCTTTGCAGTGCAACTGTATCCGAAACAAGGAGAAAAGCTTTGAATTAAAATTTAATGGTCTCACTTGAAAAGACTGTAAAGATACACATAAGGGAAACTTAGGCCGATAGCTTGAGGATATACCATGATGCTGCTGTTGTAGCCTAGTGTGTGTGTATTTGATGGTTTTGCTGTGTGCTGATTGTCAGAATAAACAAACCAAAAAAAGGCTAATTTAGGTAAAGTACAAGGAGAGAAGTTAGTTGATTCAGCACCTATACAGACTTCTCTGAGGTCTTTTTTTCCTCTTCAGGACAGCTAAACAATGGTATAGTCTAAAATATGGTGTTGTGAAGTGTCTTGCTGTAGAAAGCAGACGTTTTGAGTAGTGACCCTGGCAAAGAAACTCTAACTTCTGACATCTCTGAGAATGACTGCAAGTTAGATTAACTTTTCTTTGCGCTATGTATTTGTAATAAGCAAAAAGTAAATTGTAACTAAGTGACCATGGATGAAGTGTATAGGACTAAATACTGGATGACAACAACAGCACAGGTTTTTGCTCCTGTATTGTAAAACATAATGAACATGGTTCCGTCATTGCTTTGTAAATGAAAGGTGATCTGCATCGGGCCCTGCAGCCCCACACAAGTACTACTGCATAGTACACAGGCATGACAGCGGTCCTGTGGAGATTACAACCATTCCTAATATACCATGTTTGCTAAAACGCGTAACCGTGAGGTAAATAGCTGAGGTGAGCCTGTCTGTTGTTGTATGAAAACACTATTGCACTTTTTGGCTGGTCAAGTTTTGTCAGTCTCCAGGTTCTGTAGATGTAAAAGGCAGAAACATCAGGAGATTACAATATCACAGCTAGGAGGACAAAATAGATAAAGACCTTTTTTTTTTTTTTTTTTTTAAATAAATGATCTCATATGATTTGCTGAAATGACACTGAGATGCATTTACACTGTCATAACCACTGTATTTTCTGTAATTCACTTTATATTGAATGGACCTTTGTCCACTGTCACGCCACATGAGTTGAATTCCAAAAATCATAACAAAAACCAACTAGAGTGTATTTAATTCCTTTCCCTTCCTCCAAAAGATGTCATCTTAGCAAATCATTGATCTTTTTTTTTTTTTTTTTTTTAAATAAATGATCTCATATGATTTGCTGAAATGACACTGAGATGCATTTACACTGTCATAACCACTGTATTTTCTGTAATTCACTTTATATTGAATGGACCTTTGTCCACTGTCACGCCACATGAGTTGAATTCCAAAAATCATAACAGAACATCTGTTGGATGTGATCTGAAGCAGATATTCAAAAAAAAAATAGAGGAACACAAACCAATCCTCCTTTGATATAGACTGTGTTGTGCTGAAGTTTATTACAGGAGGACATTTGAATTGGTCGAATAGAAAGTTTTAAATTCCGTAGTCTGACCCAGTTTCCAGCCCTTTGTAATGGTATTACAGACAAGCTTGCACTCTTCAGAGGTGTTGCAGTCCTTTCACATACCTCAACTCAAAACATTCACTCACAGACTCCTACAAGAATCAAACTGTAAGGCACCTGAGGATTTGTCATGTACATAGTTGCCAGACTCCTAAGCCCCTCATAGCATGGTGGAATAAAATGTGACAGACCCACACTGTATTTAGAGCTGTATCAGAACAAGAAGAAGATGGTACCATGATTATAGAATACCCCCACATGATACCACAAAAACACACTTTTCTTAATATCTAGAACTCTGTCAAGGTGTGCATTTCATGCCACACATTATATAATAATGTGTATCAGCTGGTGTCCCTGTGACAGTTCAGAACAGCTTGGCCAGATATGGACCTTACTGGTAGGTGACTGGTGCAAAAGCATCTCCAGTGTTATCATTTTTCACTCCTCATCTCTCTACTGGCCCTGTTATTCTCTCTAGACTTCACTCAGGCTTTTAATGTGGCACAGCAAGCAGGAAGGGCACCACTTCGACTTTCGCAGATTTAGCTCATGCCTACTGGTTAGAAATCAGCTCAAACATCCTGTGAGGAAACTCCTAACAACAGAAAATATGAACTTCAAGCTACAAAAAGACTAAATGCTTTGTTCAAATAGGTAGGTTTTTTTTTGTTTTGTTTTGTTTTGTTTTGTTTTTTAGGCAAAGACGGGTTTGACGATAATGGGTATCAGACCAACCACTACACAAGATGGAATCACAGTATGCAGTCTGCGGGAAGTAGACTTGATTTGCATGACTTTCAGTTAGGTGGAAGATCAGTTGGATTGTTAAAATAGCCCATCAAGTGTGCAGAGACGCTGTCATTGCTACCTCTGAGGAATCAGCTCTTTGCTATTTCAAAGCTAACGATATTCTCCCTCTGGCCAAACGATGAGTGAAGATATTGATAGACTTGCAAGGTAAATGTGAAAATGGCAGGACAAAGCAAATGAAACTGTATACTCTTGTCCACCGAATTAGTGTGAGCTGAAGAGTAAGGACCAAAGCAACATAATGACAACCACTGCTCTGACATTTTGGAATAGTAAAGGTGTTAAATGAAGCTTTTAACATGTTTAATTATAATGTTAAAACTGTATGGGCACATCACAGATTACAAAATGAAAAAGATTTTCTAAAAATACTATTGGGGACCAAGCAGGCCAAGAAAAGGTACATTTCATGATTCAAACTGTGAGTGGAGGAATCAAGTCAAGCTTTAACACCAGCTCTCTTTCTACACTGGGCTGTAAACAGAAAAGTGACCATTTGTGGTGCATTAGAAATGAAACTGACATACTAAAATAGAAAAAATTTAAGCTCTGCAGTTTATAGAACTGGCAAAGTGCTGGAAGAGGAAAAGCCCAAATAATCTGAGATGATTTAAAATGGTTTTGTTTGTTGAAGGTAAATAAATTTAATCAGTCACAATCTGTTGGATCTTTCTCCTCTGACATGTGACTGGAGTGACGATGGTGGAGGTAAAGCCCCTTAATGGATAGATGCCAGATTTTTAAGATAAAGTAATTACTGAATTTATCTATTAATCTCTTGCCATCTTATCAGTTTCGTAATTATACAATACAGATGATCAGTCTCTCAGATCTGTAGTGGGGTACAAAACCTTTAGAGTAATATATTTCAGAAATTGAATTAAGGTTATCTTGGACATTTAATTTGATTCTATTGGTTTATACACTGATTAGCCATAACATTATGACCACCTGCCTGTTACTGTGTGCGTAGGAGTCAGTTGGCAGTTGATCGGTGCTCGTGTCACTCTGCAGCTCACTGTGAATCTGTTTGCTTCCATAGTTCTGCTGTCAGAAAAAGCACAAACCTGTCGACAAAGTCAGTGAAAAACATGTAAAAGGAGTGAAAACTGTGGTCGTGAGGACAAGTTAGAGATAATTTATTACATAAATTCAACAGCCTCGTCGCTCTCGGTGTGATATCACCACTATTGCTGCTGAATGTTTCTCTTCATAGAGACCAATGTACAGTGTTTCTCGTTTTCACCCATTTTTACAAAGATTCAAACTAAATGGAATGTTTTGAAAAGGATGAATGAATTTTAAACCTATAATCTACAGTAGGTCAACCTCATCATCAGAGAGCCTTGGGCGTCCATGACCCTGTCACCAGTTCACTGTTGGTAGGTACAACAGCAACACCCAACAAGACCTACAGACTGGGAGATGCTCTCACTCAGTCGTCAGACATCACAGTCTGGCCCTTGTCAAAGTCAGACTCTTGCGCTTGCCCGTTTTTCCTGTTTTCAACACATCAGCTTCGAGGACTGAACATTCACTAACCCACCCCACACACTGACAGGTGCCACTGTAAGGAGATAAAGTTATTCACGTTCTGTGTCAGTGGTCATAATGTTATGGCTGATCAGTGTATATGTAAACGGGTTTGACAATTGAATTACAGTATGGATCACGGCAAATGTATGCAATTGCCAGATTCTTCTGTACACGAACTGTGGTGTACAATGATGAGCTAGGGCAGCTGGTTGCTTTACTCAAATTCATTTGTTGGATTATTTCTTGGACCGTGTACAGTATGGGTTGAGTTATTTTTAGAGAAACATTTTTCAATATTTGCTTTTGTTCCACTATTAGCACACACTTCCTATGTAACTTTCCTATGAAAAGTGTGCAGTTGCTATACCTTTTAAGCAATGAAGTGACATCCTATTGCTGAGTGACCTGGCTTGTAATCTTTTATTAGTTTTGTGCCCTTTCACGTTTAATCTTAAACCCAATCACGTAAATTTGAACACTTGAGTTTAACTAAAATAAACATCTGAGAGTGACTTCTCTCCTGTCCAGTTTAGCTGGATTTTCAGCATCTGCTCATCTCCTGGGCTTTTTTTTTTTGCATCTTTAGGGGCTCTACATTCATGAGCATTTTGGTTAAGGCCATCGGGTAAGGTAAGGATTTTAGATTTAGCACTGATGTACACGTCACAAAATAAAATACTGCAGCTGTTGATCAGACAAACGCAAGCAAAATCCACTCTGTCATATTCGCTCCTGACAAGTATGTCTCGCTGCCTCACTGAAGTATTTACACTACGTGGACTGCCCTCCCCTACTGAGTGCCACTTTAATTACAATAAAATGGGAAACATTTAACACTATACTGCAGCATTCCGCTAGTGGCCCGGTGGGACTGTTTGTTTTAATTAGCTGGGGTTAGATTGGCAAACGACAATGTATTGCAAATGTCAGGGAATCTTTATAGGTGTATTATAAAATATGGATGGATATAATGTACTTTGAGCTAGCTGTAGCACTATGCCCTTGGCTCAGGGTGGGCACATTCAGTTTTACTTTAAGGTTGGTGGAATGTCGAAGCCTATAATCTCTCCCATCTGATAAATATCCCTGACCTGTTTTGCATGTTAGAAAGGAAGTTGAACCATAAAACCTTCTCCTCATTTTCATTGCTAAGGGCAAAAGCATTGCAAAGATGATCTTTTCTAAAGTCAAAATCTACCACAAGTTATCGGAGAGACAACGGGCACCATATTAATAAATCTCTGTTTAAAAAGTCCTTGAGTGTGTGTGTATGTGTGTGTGTGTGTGCACATAGGACTGGGTAAAGGACAACAGTTTTAGAGTAAAAAGCAGCACCATTTACTATAGTAACTGAATATTGTTAAAGTGTCATTTGCACCTGTCTTTCCTAGACTACATGAGCAGATCAAAAATATCAACTTAGGTGTTTTCATTATGTGCCACCTGGGACAAAAGGTTTTATGCAGTGTGTTATGAGAAATGGTTTCTGTTAGCTAAGAAACACCCCTTAATCAGCAGGTAAAATGCATCGTTTCTCAACCCACAACTGTTTTAAGGAGAAATTCTAAATGTATACTGTATATTGTGGTGTTGGTCATATGATAGATACTGTAAATATGTTAGTCACAACATTGTAATTACGAGAGGCCTGAATGCCATCAGAAAGAGATGAAAACAAAACGACACAAAGTGCAGTTTTTATGAAATTCAGTAGTAAATGTTCCATATCTGTCCTTGCAATTCACTTGCAACAATATCACAAGCTTTATAAACTATGTTTCCCTTGGAAATACAAACATGAATATTATAAGGTGCAAGATGCACTGTTTGATGCTGTCGCCTCTTTCAGGCTGCGCAAAACTCTTTTGTTAATAATTCATATTTGTTCTGCAATGGAAATGTATCCAGCAGCAAATAACTTACATATCATTAAAAAAAAAGTCCTAAGAGGGGATGGTTTTAGATGAATGAAGATGAATAAATGTGGAAATGATGGTCTAGGAATTTTAGCCTTATTTTCAGAGCTCATTCAGCAACACTGGTCACTAGCTGCAGCATCCCTGGTTAAAGATGGAGAGATGATGGTAAGACACAAACCGAGGCACAGCCGTGCAGCACCTCAGATACTCTGCCAGACATTTAACTCCCTTCTACGGTGACTTTATAGCCACAAGACATTTAGAACAAATTATTAAGAAGGAAGACAAATGACTGTACCAGGTTTTACCTGCAGATCCTCCGTAGAAAAGCCTAGACATGAAGTTTATACATCAATGAGGAGAATTTAATATTTATCCCCTTTCGGAGGTTGTGCGTATTTTTAGAAGCTTTTCCATCTCCCTAAAATACATCCATCTCTGGTGCCACCGTTCCTTTGCACAGGGTGCTTTAACCCAAAGACCACTGTTGCTGGTGAGAGGAAAGTTGCACTTTGTGGTTCCCTCTGAATGTGGCGAGTATCGCATTATCTTGACTCACAGTGGGACAATGGCAATGCTGGAAAAGACTGGAGCGTTAACAGTAAACACTAGAGAAATCACTACGTTCATTTGACAGAGTTAAAATAAATACCAGGTGAAATGTTTTGGTCTAGCAGCTCATTCTCATGGAGCAGAACCTGTGGCAAAAAGTCCCCCACGGGCTTAAACCTACACTAGGCAGCTTCATGCTAGCAGCTCCAGTTTTCTGCACCTTAAATACCTGCAAATGATCTGCAGTGAATGCATAAACAGCATTCATGTTTACCCAATCCAGCTGGCCTGGGATCATTTTTAACCAAAGACTACCAGAGAGACGAGAGGGGGAAACTAATGCTGGTATGTCTGCCGTGTTTTGGAGACAGTTTGGGTTTCAATCAAAACTCCTTCCTATGGGATTGTGTATGCTTGACGAAACTGGCTTCTCACTCAGGGCAATCTTCCCCTGAAAAACTGAGAAGGAGGATGGATTTTCAACTGAAATCTTTGCCTAGTGTAGCTTTAATGGGACAACAGAGAATGGCAACTGATGACAAAGTGGAGGAGCAATGATGACAGCCGAACAAGGCTGGATGAGATGCCACGAGCTGGTGTTGGCTGGAGGTGGACAAGAGGAGCTGAGGATGAATTGGTGGACCTCAAAGCCGTGTCTGGGCTTCAGGGATGTAGATCTCGATGCTGTCTGCCCTCTCTGTGGCCGAGTTCTGTCTGAAAGAAGCTGCTCGTTTGGCAGCCATGAGGCGTCGGCGGGCTTCCTGTCGCTGGCGATCCTGAAGGTCCAGAGAGCGCTCCCGTGTCATGGCGCCACGCCCCTTGGCTGGCCGCTTTGGCATAGGTGGTGGCCACTTTCGCTCCTTAAGATATAGAATGACATGATTAAACAAGGTGCTAGGTTTAATATTATAGCAGTATGTCCCACAGAAGAACCTGGTTCACAGGGGGGGTAAAAGCACATCCAACTCAATCAGTGGTCAAGAGCGCTGACATGTGCCAGAAAATACAAATTGTAGACCAGATTTTGTTTGTGATCCAAAAGCTATTATGTACCCAGAACATTTCCCTGGCAAAGCTCATTTTAAAATAACACTTGCTTACCTTTGAAAATTTCGCCCATATGACCTACAAAGCTGAACAAACTAAAATCCAAAAACTTTTGGATGCAAAGCAAACTTGACTGATTGTTTGGTAAACTGGTGTTCGTGTAAAACGGCGCCTGCCTTGAAAGAGAAGACCAAAGCATCTGTGTCACTGTTAGGGCTCAGCTTCATGGAGCTTGAAATGCGCCTGTTAACTACTGGAGGTAAATAACTCCCGCACAACTACGGCTGTAGCATTAGGATAATTATCCGAGCGCCCTGAAGTATTTTATCTATCTCTAGAACCACATTACCATCTAAATGTGCTTATGCAGTTGCAGTTCCCTCACTAGCACCTCTCTTACCAGTAGACTTTCAGTTCAGCTGTTGGCTGATTTAATTGGAGGATTTGATATTTTATTGTCTAATCCCATCTAGCATTAACGTCAACATATCATTAAATGGTGTAGTGTGACATTTTAAAACAGTGAAGTAAATCCAAATTTACATATATTTCATATATATCTGCCAATTTGCCATGTTTATAGCCTAACAAGGGATTTATGTTAGCTTAAATGTATTTAGCACGGTGCTTTTCAAGCAGTTGCATACATATATATACTGGAGAAAAATTATCCAATCAAATTCAGTGGAAAGATGAGAAGGCATTAAAAGAAAAGTCCTGTGTTCATCTAAACTGTTTTCTTATCTATCGAGACCTAACAAATGTTCTGTTGCGTCAGAGGAAATGGTAAAGTGGTGTGTGCTTAAATGTTGTGTGAACATGCAATAGTCTGACAATCAGGAAATCTCAAAATGATACTGTTTGTTTTTTGTCCCCTGAATTAATATTAGAGTAGTGATAAACTTAAGTAGAATGAAACCAAAGCCTCTACTGCCCTCTACTTTATCATCCTCATCCACACACACAGAGGTTAGGCAGGTGATTGCTACATGTGACAACGTGAATCAGATAAGATTATATATAAAGAGAGAGAGAGATGTTTTCAATGGGAAAACAAGTGTTTTAATGGATGCTACCAGCTGTCTAAACTAAAGTGATGCTGCCTCTGTGTTCCTGCAGCGTTTTAATAAGAATGGTTAACCTCCTGCTGGTTACAAGCCTGAAAAGAAACACAGTTGTTGTTAGTGTACTTTCTTCCAAAGCTGAGCGAGTTCATCTGGGGCCCATTAACACTAATTATTATGAGTGTGTGGATCCCTAAGAAAACAGCTACCGGCTTTACCTTCTTCTCGGGGCTCTCCACCAGCTGCCACTGGTTGCTCTTGATCTGCTGCAGCTCATCAAACTTGGCAGTGACGTCATCGATGGAAAGCTGCAAGAGGTCCCAGAACCCAGCCAGGTCCTGAGATGTGGGTCTGGGCATGGCACTGGGGTCCTGAAGAGACAGTGGAGTTTTTTTTTTTTGTTTTTTGTTGGGGTTTTTTTGCATTTAAGCAAAATACATATCCGCCTTTTGTTAAGTGTAGGATTGCTGAAAACCAATTAGAAACTAACTTTAATATTAATCGTGCACTGCCTGCTCTGAACCAGCATTATAATAGCTGTATCATACTAAACCTATATTACTAAACAAGAAACTACAATTTATCTAAGAAAATATTTAACTATCAAACTATGCGGTCTGAAAGGCCAAAAGTTCAAGACTGTTTTTGTCTCAGGTAAATAAACTCAAATGATTTTTGCTGGCATGGGAGTTTTCTTTTGTATCACATTGTCAGTTTGATCATTTGAACTTTACCAAACTACATTTCTCTCTAGAGTAACTTGGCTTTAATTTATTTTTTTCCCCAGTGTGAAGTATGTGATAGTTTGCAAAGTTACATTTTTCAAAGTAGTGAGTCCAGTACTGTTCGTTTCAGGACAAACAGCCACGTCTACATTTGAACCTCAGTCTTTCTACCACTGTGTGGCAGCACCACTATTGGTTTTAAAGCATAACCCTAAAGGATAGTGCCTGCACCTTGTCACCGGCTTTAATAGCATCTTCTTAATAACAGCCGACTTGGTAAATTGTTTACTAGAGCAACAACAATGAGTAATGATGATCAAAAGTAGTTTTTATGGTCACGTGCAGTGGAGAATAAGAGAATGTGCTGGGAGGAGAAAAGACATCAATGGACATTATCTCAAATAATGTAAGGGGAATGGATTTTGACCTTGATGGCTATGACTTGGTATGCACAAACAAAGAGAATAAGATGGGAGGTGGTGTGGCCTTGTACATAAATAAAAACTTTTGTTATAAGAAAGTGGAGAAAATGTCAAGTGTGGTGGATAATTTGCTGGAGTGTGTGACTGTATAAATACTCATGGAAAAAAAGAAAAATGTTGTAATAAGCTGTATTTATAGAGCACCTGGAGCCAGCATAGAAAAATTTAATGACTGGATGGAAGAAAATTACTTGACAATAAGTCATAAATTAATGTTCATATGTGGTGACTTCAATATAGATTTGTTAAATCCTAACAAGCACACAGGAACTGAGGAGTTTATTAACACAATATATAGATGCAGTTTATACCCAAACATTACAAAACCAAGTAGAGTAACAACCCAGCATGCAACACTAATAGATAATATATTTACCAATGTTATTGACAGCAAAATGACAAGTGGATTACTTATAAATGATATAAGTGATCATCTACCAGTATTTGTGGTACTGCCATTTCCACTATACCATGATGTCCTGCCATTTCCACTATACCTGGGTACAGCCATTCCTTGAAATCTTTTGCTGTTTTTCTGGAAT